CGCCAACACCCCAAACACCACCGCATACGGTACAATGTATATTGCAATTTGCCAAAAACTGTAAAACTCATAAAAGTTTATTTGTTTTGTGTATCTTACGGATATAAATAAAGTAAATGAAAGTATATGTATCTCTCTGACTTAAGGGTATAAGTGAATGAGTGTATACGTAATTGCAGCATTCACCAGCATTCACCAGCATTTCAAATTCATTTCCTTCCTGTTCTGTTTGGTGGCCAAAAATGTTCTGCTAACCGAAATCATTCACAATAGTGCCAACTAACAATCGGTTTAAGCGCTCGCTCTTCCTCTACATAAGCCACTGTGTTCGCTACACTTAAAGTCGAGCTCATTAGTTATACAGATTCGTGGCCATAATCGTGGTACTTGCTAAATAGTTTTGTTTGCAATACAAAATTTCATTTTCCCAAAACTGTTGGATTAAATGTATCTTTCCTATTTGCTACATTCGTATTTGCATTTGTGTTTATTTGTATGTGTGTATCTCTGTGTTGGCTGTTGTGTTTGGATTACATACTATTTGAATTTATCTTTCAGCTGAAGAGACTAGTAGTATAATTTTGGGTCTGTCTGTATCCACAACGCGTTTCAGGTAAAATAAACAAAACAAATGCTCATATTTTGTTTTAGGAACCTTCTCGCTTCTCCTCCCGACTGGGAATACCTTTCAGTTTCGGATGTCTGCCTTTTTGAAACAATAAAAAGCGAATTTCTTTTGTGTTATGCGTGTGCAAATGTCGTGAATGTCGTAAATGTAATGCAGAATTAAGTGTGTACGTATGTATATGTGCGTATCTGTCAGTACTTATATATATTTATGTACTAAATCCTAAACAATATTGCCACTTCTTAACGTTGCTGCGTTACAAGACCGACCCAATGCTTTCGAGTTTTGTACATCTGTCAGTTTGTCAGTTTGTCTGTTTGTTACTTTATCTTTGTCTTTCATCGTTTGCATTTAACTAATAAAACGGCAAGTAAATAGAAATCTTGGGTTTTCTCATGTCTTGGGTTTTGTTTAGGTACGTAGCTCTTGACTTGCTCTATGTGTTTGCCAAGCGAATTCCCAACATTCAGTATTTGTCCACATTTCTTGGCGTATTCCATAGATTTGCTTCGGCTACTTACTCCCTACTAAATGTTGCTTAACTCTGTTAAATTTAGCGTAATTTATTTTTTATTTACCTTGCGATTAAATAGCCTCCTCAACAATATGTTACTTGATTTATTATGTTTCGGTGGCAACTGTTAGTTTTGTGTTTTCGTTCCTTGACTTGAAGTAGTCATTTGGCTTTATTCAGTTACTAAATCATTTCTGGCAGTACAAGTTTATTTCCATACTTTTTTCCCACTGTATCTACATAACTCAAAGTCTAACTTTTAAGTTGAAGTTGTAGTGCCTTTTGTGCGTTAACACGCAACTTATGTTGTTGACGGCATAAATTGATTTAAATGACTTAAGATTTTTATTCATTTTGATGGCCGATTATTAAAACCAATGACAAAATATTAATTTAATGTTAGAAGTTATGATATATGAGTACTCAAAACAATTTTAAAAAATATTAAACTACTTAAATTGTCCAAGTTATAAGAAGACCGCCATAAATCGTCAAAATATCGAAAATGAATTTCATTAAAAAATACTAAGAGTATTTAAAAAAACAATAAAGTGTGTTTCAATGAACTGATCAATTAGCCTGTTTCACATAAGGTTAAATGGGATTACTTATTTACTAACTTAATTTGCCATAATATCACGTTATTGGGTTTCAGCCTGACGCCGATATAAAGTAATTCTGATTATTTTTTAGAGTAAATCTTTTTCCATTAAGATTTCTTCAGTTCTCGACTTATAAAGTACGGTTATCATCTTATACATCTTGCCACCATCATATCTACAAACGTTCTCTTTGCATATCTCATTGCAGAGCAGTTTTAAAACTTTTATTTATGGTTTCTTTTCGTTCATTCTTGCGACATCTCCACACCAACGTTGTTTTTCGCTCTTCATTAAAGCTTTTTCGGTTCATATGATCTCCTCGATGGATGAATGCAAACATTTTTCAAAAGACTGTTCTTACGAATAAAAGTATACGTCTATATATTAAAAGTTTTTCATGGATGTCCAACATCAAACGAAGCTATCGTATCATACCACAACACTTCGAAGCTTAAGAAGCAATAAAAGCAATGGAATAAAAAAGTGAAGTTCTGAAAAAAAGATAGACTGTAATTTAAATTTTAAATATTATGACTGCTTTTTTATGATTGTCTAGGATATGTTATATGTAGTGTAATATTAATAATAGTACTATGAAGTCTAACTTTAATAATATTTATTATTATTTTATTAATTGAAATATACCAGCAATTAAATCAAGGATTATTAAATTTAATTTAATAAATTAAATTAAAATCAATTGGAAGTCATCATTTCAAAGTTTCGGCTCCATTCGTAAAGTTTAATTTTGTTTGACTTAAGCACTGGCCATGGGTGAAATTAAGATATTTTGAATTATTTGAATATTACCCATTATTCACCCAATATACTGAACACCATTGACACCGGTGAACTCGAAAATCAATAGGTTATATGGTATTTATCATATATAGATCATTTGCAGACCTTAAGTTTTAGAATTCTTGAAAACACATATTAATTAATATGATATTCAAAAAAAAAACTAAACAAATAAGATATGCCTCTCGCTATGTTCAAATCAACTAAGGTAGATAAGGTGCCATAAGATCTAAAGCCATTGAAAGATACGTATTGAGTAAAGAGATCGTAAAAAAAAATTAAATAAAATTAAAATAAAAAAAATTAAAGTAATTAAAAATTTGTCTTGATCTGTTTGACACAGAACTCTTTATACAAGTATCACAACAAATTTATCATGACTTATAGAGTCCTTGAAAGACAGTTCTCAAGTAAAGCGAAGAAATTCTAATAAAAAAAATTAAAAAGAAATTAAAAATACATTAAAAACAAAAAATTAAAAATTTGTCTTACTCTGTTCGACTCAAGACTTTTAATACTAATTAATTTATGGTAACTAATTTACCATAAAATAAGTATTTTGAAATTTTATATATAATTTTTAAGGAAAATATACAAAATCTTCAATTAAAGAAACTCACCACCTATAATATTGTTAACTTACCTTTAAGTCTTTATTTATATTGTTAAAAAAATGTTTAAAAAAATTTTAAAAAAATTTGAAAAAAATTAAAAAAAGAATTTAAATTTCAAATGTGTTTATCTGAATAATTTTATTTTTTCATATTTTTTTAATTATATTCTAATATTTTTTTCTTTCTTTTCTCTTCAAATTTCTTTTTAGATTTTTATAAGCTTAATGAGTTGCTAGGAGGCAATTTTCATTGAAGCGAAATAACAACAACAACAACAACAACAACAACAACAATATTAACAACAGTTTCAAAAGCGAAGAGATTAAGTTAAGCACATAAAGCACCTCGAGCATTAAGTGCAGTGTTGCAAAAATTTTATTTAAAAAAGGCTTAAAGAGAAACAGCTGCAAATACAGCAACAAAGAAAACACAACAATAACAACAGCAACAAAAAGAGAAAAAGAAAACATTGAAGAATTTAATAAAAATAAAAGTGAAATAGGGAAAACATAAAAACAAAAACAGAAGCTGTGAAGTGAACCATAAATAATTTTGTTATATGCAATTGTCTCTCATGCAAGTTGAGTCAGCAGAGAGAACGCGTGCCGTGACAAAAAAAAGGCGTTAATACAAGCAATAAGAAGCAGCATTCACAGTACCAGCAACGCAAGAGCGCTAAAAAAGCAGTAAAGTAGCTGTAATTGAAGTCATACGACGAGGGGAATAAAGAAATTCCTAACTGGCGGCAAACAAAATTAACACAAAAGCATACAAGAAGTTATTTTGACAGTTTGTATTTAAAAATAAAACGCAGCAGAGAAAAGACAAAGCACAAAGAAGCAAAAATCGCCAAGCCAATCAAAGCAATCTCAACCTCAACCTCAATCGAAGTCTTAATCGCTGTCTCTGTCTCTGTCGCTGTCGCAGTCGCAGTCTCTGTCACAGTCACAGTCGCTGCATTATAAGCAGAACAAATATCAGCATACTTTAGACTGACAGGATAAAAGTAGAAAACATTTTTTTTTGTTTTTGTTTTTTTTTTTTCTGAAATATAAAAGAACAAAAGAAGTGAACAATTTTATATCATTTTTGTCTTATTTATTTTCTTATTTTTGTCGCTGCTTTGTTGCTTGATAACTTAAAGTGATTGTCAAATAAATCAATTTAAAGCGCTGCAAGTGGCGTACCAAGACAACAGACTAGACAACCTCAAGTGACCAGAAGATGTCAGATTTTGATGATCAACTTCATACACGCGGCAACAATAAACCAGCAATACTTGTGGCGCTGTAGATGATGACGTAGTTGGCGTTAATGACATTACAAGCACAAAAGCTTCAAAACAAATAAAAAAAAAAAAGCAGTAGCTGCAGCAGCGCAGATAAAGTAGAAAATCATAATATAAAATAAAATAAACAGAATCTCTATTCAAGTAACTTTCGTTATGTGCTATCGGCAAGATTTTATATAATTTGACATGTAAACGTGACTGGAAGCGTAATAAAGAAACAACATCCACAGCAACAACAATAAGAACAAGCGTAATAACAAAAACAACAACTGCAATCAAAAGCCACAACAAATATAATAGACACAACGTAACTACAACAACAACAACAAGGACTAGACGTTAAGCTTAATCATTAAAAATCATAAAGTTGCCAACTTTTGTCATTTTCGTTAAAGCGACAGAAAAGTAGAGCAACAAAAGTAAAGACAAAAACAAAAACCAGAACAACAATAACATTATTAAAAGTAAAAAAGTAAATTAGTTTAATATAAAAAAAAATAAAAAAAAAATCCAACAACAACATTAACAAAAACAATGCTGTAAACATTATTTGTTTTTGTGATTTGTGTTTGTGTTTTCCAAAAACATTTTTAAAAGCAAGTCAAAGCAACATCCGCTTGAGAACGGAAATTATTCTTAAACCACAAAGTATAAGTATAAATAAAATAAAAAAAAAACCAAAACAAAAAAAAAACAGCAAGAAAATTAAAAATTAATAATAGCTAAGGTTTGCAGGCATTTGTAAACAAGGACAAAATACATACAAAACAACAACAACAACAACAACAACAAAAATGGAAACAATAAAAATATTTCGCCTGCTGCGTACGAATAAACGCGCGCAGCAAAGGCAACAAAATCGTTTACTGCTCATAATGGTTTGCTTGCTATTTGCCTGTTACAGTTTCCAAAGTACCGCTGCCTGCCCCACTGACTACTGCACCTGTAAGTGGAGAGGAGGCAAGCAAACAGTCGAATGCGGCAATCGACTCTTGCCCGTTATACCGGAGAACATGGATCCAGGCACACAAGTGCTCAACTTTTCCGGCAACAGCCTGCAGGTGTTGCAAAGTGAGCGGTTTCTGCGTTTGGACCTATTAAATTTACAAAAAATATACTTGGCACACAACCAACTCATACGCATACATGAGAACACCTTCCGGGGCCTATCGAACCTGGTTGAATTGGACTTATCTGAGAATTTACTGCAACACGTGCCAAGCGAAACGTTTCAGGACTACAGTTCGCTGATGCGCCTTTCGCTCAGCGGTAATCCTATACGTGAAGTGAAAGCTTCAGCTTTTCGTTACTTATCCTTTTTGACAACACTTGAGCTGAGTAATTGTCAGATCGAACGCGTCGAGAATGAGGCGTTCGTAGGTATGGATAACCTGGAATGGTTGCGTTTAGACGGTAATCGCATTAGTTTTATACAAGGTACACACATACTACCGAAGTCATTACATGGCATTAGTTTGCAAAGCAATCGCTGGTCATGTGATTGCCGACTATTGGACTTGCATGAGTGGTTAAACAGTAACAAAATTCCACAAACCGAGGAGCCCAAATGTGTGGATCCACCACGCCTTAAAGGTCAAGTAATTAAAACGTTAAAACGAGATGAGTTGGCGTGCTTGCCCGAGGTTAATCTCACTTCGACACACACTGAAATATCTGAGGGTCGGAACGTGTCCATCGTGTGTATTGTACGTGCCATACCCGAACCAAAAATTTTATGGCTATTCAATGGTCAGGTCATGACAAACGACAGTTTCGGCGACAATCTGCGCATGAGTTACTACATTGACGAAACCGGCAATGCTGAAGAGAAGCGCAGCGAAATATTCATTTACAATGTAAGCGCTGGGGATAATGGCACATTTTCGTGCGTTGGACAAAATGTTGCTGGGACCATATTTAGCAACTATTCACTACGTGTCATCATTAAGGAACCACCCGTAGTCAACGAGGTGTCCTTCCCACGTGACTACATGAATTATATTATTGCCAGCAGCACAGGTGCTGGTGTCATATTTGTAGTGTTACTGTGCACAATTGTGGTCAAATGCAAGCAGCGTCAACCAAAAAAGCGTAAGAAGTGCCGCAGCAGTAGCGCAGCTGCAAGTGTGCCCGGTAATACTAGTTCCACTGATGGCAGCACAAACGATACTGGCCTAATGAAATGTTCATCGATTTTAAATGATGCCGATAGCCTAAATGGCAGCTCAGGCATGCTTATGGCCGAAGGCATGACACCCACTAAAATGTGCAAGGAAAATGGTGTCATCATTGGTGGACAAATGAAACAGAACTTGTTGTTGTACGCACCAGCACACTACCAACAACAGCAACAGCAACAATCGCTGGATGCTTGTAGCGCCAGCGCTGCACAGGCCCTACAGCTCAATGTCAGCTTAGCCAATGCGCACGCTGCAAGTGGTACGCCACCACCACTAATGATTGGCACTGCACTAGGTACTACTATTGCATACTGTTCTCCACCCTCTTCGGTGCGTAACTATCAAGAAAAAAATCCAGATTTAGTTAACGATGCGGAAAGTGTTAAGCAAAAATTGAAATCGGCCACATCACTAGATACTGACTACGATGCAGCCAGTGACTGTTCAGGCCCATGCAGTATACAAGGACTGAACGTACCAGTGCAGTACGAGAATTGCTATCAATTAACACCACAGTTTGGCTCTCAAATCATACGGCCCAACATGAATACTAATGTTACAGCAGCATCACGCTTTGCCGCCATGACGACTCTACCACGTGGCATGCAATTAAAAACAGTCATGAACAATTTAAGCACAGTACCACAACACCAGGTGGATGTGCACTTAAATCCAGTATGCTTTTTGGGACAAGATGGTTTCGCTTACGATTACAGCAACGCGCATTTACAGCAGCAACCACAGTCACATCATCATTTACACTTGCAGCCTCAGCATTCTTTGGGTGCTACACCACCATCTCAAGCAACCGCCCAGCAAGCACAGCAAAATTTTTATCGCACCTTGCCACATAATCGTGCACACAAGCAACAGCAATTTGCCGCTTCAGCTGCAAATTCTGGAATGCGTTACAGTCTTGAAGCTGAACTTTTACAACGTTCCGGAACGCCCACATATGACAAATATATGCCAAATGTACGCTTCACAGCCGAAGGTTATCCACAGCCACAACCAGAACAGCTCGTACAATATCCCTCACCACCGGAAGGCTACAAAAGTACAAATAGTCCAAAAATTGGCGGTAATGCCGACAGCAGTATGGGTGGTGCATCCACAATATCCGCAGTAGCATTCCAACAATGGCCACCATGCTTACCCGGCTATCATGCACAGCCGATACGTTATCCACCCACAATTGTTGGTGTTCTCAGTGCACAACCAACATCAACTCCAGCAATTGGAGCAACACAACAGCAACAACAACAACAATTGCAACAAAAGTCGAACACAACAGTGGCACTTGCAGTAACCAGTCAAACACAAACACAACCATGTGTCAGCAACAGTAGTGGATCATCGATAACCGGCAGCACCACAGGTACTCCAGGCACAATTATGGACATGAAAAAACGTTGTGTTTCCTCACAAGCCGATGCATCCACAATACCAGAATGTGACGAGAATGACGTTTCACCCACCACATCCAATGCAGGTCTGACCGATGCTGCAGCAGCAGCAGCAAAAACTTCAACAACAACAACAACAACTACAACAACAGCAGCAGCGGCAGCTTTGGTTGGTACTGACTCTGCAGCGTTGACTGAGGAAAAATCCAAATTAAGACATCTTAACGGTCCACTTGCTGATAGTCCTGACGAGGGTTACGTTGGCGATTCGCATGAAGGCGCCGACATATGACAACGGGATGCTAATTGCACATATGCAAGTGCGAAGGCTCTAGATGATTCTGTAGCACTGTAAGCAAGCCACTTGACATAATTGCTTTAATTTTATTTCAATTGATTATTCTATGTGTCTGCTAATTAATGATTTAAGTTATTTTAAGGATCAATCAAAGGTACATAAATTTAAATATATATTTTAAATCGTTTTATCTTCAACAAAAATCATTTCAAGACTTTAAGTATATCGTCTAAGAATCCTTTTGCGCTTCCTGGAGTTATTGTTATGAGGTGTCCTTTCACCGAATAGTCTACTTCGATTCCTTTTAAATTTATTTCTAACAATTTTTATCATATTTCAATTTAATGAACTCCATGTATTTATAGTCACTTTTATTCATTAATTGATCAAATTCTTAAATTAATATCGTCAAATTTCTATGTAGGAATTAGAGCTTCAATTATTACTTAAGCCATTACATGCTTCGATTATTTTAATATTCAAATATTGTTTTGTTCGAGTGTTTTAATTTTCGAATATAGTTGTGTTTAAATATTCGACATGAACACCAACAAACCGGTCGAATATGTTCAATTGGCCTAAGCATTGCACGCTATCACTTAACCCACGTTCACTATACTGACTATACTTTATGCAGAATTTTGCACTCATTCTCACTTTTTCACTAAATATACGAATTTTTGTTAAAATTCGAAAATAATAATTAATAAATTAAATAAGTGTAGACACCTATTTCACATATTACATGACATTTGCTGTAACATAAACTTAAACATCTTCAATCATAACAATAGGCGCTAACATTTTCGAATATTATATGGTGTTCGAATATTAAATATACATTTGTTGTTATTATTTATTATATTTGTTATATACAAAATTTAACGAAATTTAAATGAACCAAAAAAGAGATTTACTGTTCGAGCAGCTCTAACAAATCCACAACTCAAAGAAATGTGTTATCTATTCAAATCTTCGAATTTATGTATGCTCAAGTTTTATGCTATAAACACTTATAATTTAATAAGTTTACTTATACGCTTTCGATCGAGAATCACTTTAGTATAATTTTCATTTTCGATTGGTATATCTCGAGCGAAATATACAATACTTAAGATTAATTTCTGACACTCCAGATATTTTGTCAGAATGGCAAGCTGACAGGAGAATTATGATTTGATTTGACATATGTATTTATGAAGGACATAAATGCCTACTAACACAACTACATTAGATTAATCTAAAAACATTGGATGGGGGAACGAAAATTTGACGGTTCATGAGTAAATCTAGACCGAATCCAGATTTATTTTCTATTCAAATATTAATTAAATATTCATGTTGCCATATAAATTTATTTAAAAATGTATTATATTATCACAAAGAAACACAGTTTTAGTAAACTTCTGGTTTCCATTGGAACTAAGGCTCTGCTCACACCATTATTCCTCATTATCCTCGCTCTCCCATTTTGTGAAACCGGGTACAGTAATAATAATAACAGAATCTAATAAAATATTATTGCGACTGCTGTTTCTTAAGAATGTTCAGTTTGTTCAATTTTTTTCTAGTTTAGATTAGGCACTAGGCACAATGAATAATACATTTCGCTACTCAAATATTAATATTGTAATCTGGTCACCTTATAAACAAAAAGTTTCAATTACACACAAAGCCCCGTACAAAAGGCTGCCAGAACAAAAGAAACTTTCCAACTGAAAAACAAAAGGTTGCCATATTTTGTGCCTGCACTGCACTTCGTACCTGGGTTTGGTTTTTTCGTGAGGAATTTTTTGTTTCGCTCCTTAATATTTTTTCTAACAACATTTATATGAATTTTATTCCTTTTTGGAGATTTTATTTTATTTTTTTCTTCTGCTTTCTCATTGGAATAAAAGCAGACTTGTACGATTTTATATTCGTTGATGTAATTGAAAAAGTTTTCATTTAATTTAAACTTTGTAATATTGTGTGCTACTCGCACTCGCACTCCTAGCACTCCTCGTCCTCCTTGCCACTCGTCCTCCTCATCCACGTTTCATATCCCTGTACCCGTGCACACCAAGAAATATTCCGTTTGTTATGGTTGGCACAAGAAGTGGAAAGGTGGTTAAGCTGAAGCCTATTTTAAGTAGTCGTAGTCTCAGTTTATTTCGTATTTGTCTTAAATTTCCTTTGTGCTTTCTTTGTATTTCATTGTTATTTTTACCAAATTTCTTATTTTTTTATTGTATTTCCTTTTTTATTTCTCAGACAATTGAAATTATTTAACGTTTCTTTTCTTTTAATTTTTTTTTTTACCTTCTCACGGTTTTTTTTTCTTAATGTTTTTAGGTTAGCAGATTGAGTTAGTTGGGGTTAAACTGTGCCGAAGTGCGTCTTACTGAGGTGATACTAGGAAATTAAGCAGAGAAATTTAAACTGCAAAAAAAATGTTTATGGAATTCGTCTTGTGCAAATATGTGAATGAATTGTGAAAGCAATTTAAGGGATGTATTCGTCCTTTTTCCTTTGTTCCTTATTAGAGACTTTAAAGAGTCGTAGAGAATTTTTGGAAAATTACTTAGCGCTCTAATCCAGCAGCTTACTATGTACTTTCATTTCATAGTATTTTACAGTTTGAGCAGTTCAGCATTCATGTGGGGTGAGAGGAAAAGTGCTCGCTGACGGTACGAGTCGGAAAAGTAATTAAAATATCAATTATGTTTATTGACTAATACTTCTACATGTTTAAGTTAATTTAGAATTCCTTATAACTTGAACCAAATAACAGAGAAACCTGAGCTATTTTTTTACAATTTTAACATGATTGCTTTGTGATATAAATATATACCTGTGCTATAGAATTAGAAAGAAACTTCTATGAAAACCTCAAAGTCACCATTTAAGTTATCAACCACTAAGAATCAAATAATTATATGCTATATGCTATAGAATTAGAGAAAAACTTCTATAAAAACCTTAAAATCACCATTCAAGTTATCAACCACTAAGAATCTAATAATCTGTTAAAATGAATGCCCTGTAATATGAATATATATTACAGAAGCTAACCAAAACTTTTATAGATAGTAAACAACCAGGTTGATCATATTCCGTTAAAACCTAATAACCTGATCTTCTGTTTGAAGTATGTTATGGTCAACTTCCACAATTTTTTTTATATAATCGAAGTCATCTAAATTTTGGGGCAAACTTGGAACTTGACGATTCCATAGAGTAGTGATATTTCTTCCACCTTAAACACGTTCGACAAGTTCGTGAGGCGCAAAAGAAATTAATTCTATACGATATACTAGAAATAAGGTAATTAAGTTTATTTATTATAAAATTTTTATTTACTTATGTTTATTAGACCTTAAATTATATATACTTGAATTAAAGTTAATAATATATGTAACTTAAATATGTCAATATATATGAATATGTTTGTATGTATAAATATGTATATAAATAATATACATATAATGTTGTAATAATACATACTTTTTAAAATTTTTAAGACATACCAATATACGAGTATAATATATTGTTTAATTAATTTTGATCATATGTATGTATACATAAAATGCTAATACTGTCAAAGTTTTCTTAAGTGGACACTAATAATAGTATACCAACTCTGTTCAGTAAAGAAAGAACTCTACATTCGAAAGGAAGTACTTTGTATAAAAGAAAAAAAGTTGGGAACTATATACATTGCACTGTTGAGCAAAAACTTCATTCAAGACGGCGTCTGTTTCATGATGTTTTCAATGTATATATATAAATGGGCGCATGTACATATATATCCAAGTATTTATAATTTATAGATATACAGTGAATGTATTAACAAATTTATATATATGTATATATATGAAACTTAAGAACTTTTGATATAGTATATAATACTGACATTTACGTTTCTAATAATTGAGTGGTTTATATTCTAAATTTTTTTTACATTTTTTAAAAAGAAATATTTTTTATCTTTTAATATTTGTTACAAAATGCTACAATATGAATTTATTTACAAAAAGTATAAAAGGAGACATTAATGTTGTAAATAACCAAATTAAACCGAACTATTAAAACTATATTTTTTAAGTCGGTAAAGTGAAAGTAACTCGATTTTAATTATTGAATATAAGAGAACAAAAAAAGAATTTAAAAAAAATTCTGTAAATACTTTTATGAAAACAAAATAAATTGTAATATATAACTCTAATTGTTAGAACAGTTAGTGAAGTATCAAAAAAACAATTAATTATATGTGTGTCAAGACTTTTAATTTATGTTTATCAGTAATTAATGTATCAGGTGACATAGGGGATAATTGCTTCTTAATAAAAACTAGTGATCTTCAATAATTTTCCACATAAACAACAAAAAGGATATGCATATATATGCATATATACATTTTATATTTATTAATCCGATAGATCCCATCGTGCTATAAATATATAAACATATTGTCAGCCAGATGTCAACAAAATACGATCAGGATGCCATCAAGTCATCATTAAAATGTCAAAGAAATGACATTATGACGTCATCAGGATCTGATCATGAAAATGTAATCAACTTGTCATAAAGATGTCTTAAGAATGCCATCAAAATGCAATCAAGATGATTCAAGATGCCAATAAGATGTCACGAAGATAATCACAGAAGCTCATTGAGTTACCATCAGAATATTATCATTATGTTATCAAGATGTTATCAAAATTATGATTATGATGTCATCAAGTTGCTATTAAAATATTATTAAGATGGCATCAAGATTTCATGAAGTTGTATTTCAAAGATATTGTCAAGATCTTACTGAGATGCATTATAGATGTCATCAAAATATCGTCACGATGTCAACAAAATGTCATCAAGATGTCAACAAGCTGGCATTAAGCTGTCATCAAGTTGTTATTAATATAACATCTAGATGTGATTAAGTTGTCGATATGCCATCAAGATCTTATCAAAATGTCATTAAGATGTCAAAACATTATTACTATGTTATGAATAGATCAGCATGTAAACAAAATGTCGATATCAAGGTGTCATTAAAATATCTTCATATCATCAAAATGATGAAAAATAGAATACTTTAATACTT